ACACTTTGTCCTCGTCATTTGCTCGCATCTCCTATAAAGTGCGAGTGACTTTTGACAGCCACAAATCGATCTCCATGGGATCCGTCGAACGATCCCCGTAGAAATCCTCTACCTTCCTCTTCCGGAACGTATCATAATCCAGTGGACGCCTAGGTTGCGGTGGTGGTGGAAGGTTGACGTGGACATTACTAGCTCTGCATATAAGGTCCTTTTAGTAATCGATCTATTTTTCCCAATACGATTAGAGTAGACTGGAGATTTTATAAATCCTTAAAAGAAATCCTTGACTCGTTTGGCCAAAACTTAAAACACGTTTTCTTTTCCTTTAAAACATAAGCCTTTAAAACTACGACCGATATTCCAGTATTCCTTGGAGACCAAGGAACAGAAGAACACCGGCTCTGATACCAAAATGTCACATCCCGATCTCTAAAACCCTCAAATAACAATTTTGCTCCGGAGCATAATTAAAATATTGAAAGAAAGAAATAATAATGTGATCGAAATACCAATACCGAAAATACACCTTATAATTTAAAAGCAAAGCCCTAACATTTGGGCAAACCTCAATCCATAAAGTCTTATCCTTTTAAATCTCCAGTCATTACTCATAATCATAAAGCAAATAACTAAAGATTACAAATGTTGCTTACTCAGATCCGTGGTCAGAGATCTTCAGAAGTGCTCACGTGGTCCTCCTCTGTTAGCCTGCTCTCTCACTGGATGCTCCTCGACTGGATGCTCTCTAGATCCTCTTCTACGACCTGGTGAGTGGGTTGGGGTCAGTCTACGCCATTACTTAAACTTGAAGCACTTACGGGTATTCCCTTAACTGTTCACCTCAAAAACTTGTGGAAGTTGTTCATACTTCCACCCTTTAAATTTTAACCCTTATAAACGTGGGAGTTGTTGTTACTCGCCACCCTAAAAAAAAAAAAATCTTAAACCTTTGACCGACACTAGGATCCCCTCACTAACTAGTCCAGCCGCCCAGCTCATACGTATGAGGGCCAACATAGGCCTTTCCTTAAACCTTTTTATGGGAGTAATCGATTCAACCCCATAAACCTTAAGAGTATATCATACTCTTCCTTTAAACTTCATGTGATGTCTAAGTGATTCATCCACATGTTCCTTAAGAGCAAACTTGCTCTTCCTTTAACTTTCACTGGGGCGGGGCACTGGCGTTAGTGAACTACCTTTAAATCTTTTCACCCTAATTTAATTAGGAGTGAAATACCTCTTAAATGTTGATCCTTAAAGATCAACCAACCTTCATTAAATAAACACAATATAAAAGGTTCAAGTAAATACCGAAAGCTAAAATAATCATATGCTTCACAATCATAACTCAAATAGAGCATCTCAGATAATATATCAAATAAAACATGCTTTATCAATCACGACATAAATCAATCACTGGCATACAATTCACATGAACACACATACTTAAAACACGTAAGTCAAATACATGAAAATACGTAAGGCGTAGAATTTACCCCCTTAATCCACTCACTTTATTTGGTCGAGCAGTTAAACTTGATCTAGCTCCCCCAGTCAAAGGATCGATGCTCAAGAGAAGATGATTCGCCTTGTCAACTTATGGCGAATACTGAGATTAGATCGGTTGGGTTTCGGGTACTTAGCGACGGTTTTCTCGACGTGTGACTACTTTGCGAGATGTGCAAAGTACGGCATACTAATATACCAATTAATATAATATACTTGAATCATAATTCTTTAAACCCAACACTTTTAATTTAAAGTCCAAGTTAATTTAAATCATTGAACAACTAATTATGCTAGGATAGCTTACGTAGTTGAAATCGAACCTCGATTAGGTCATATAAGAAGGCACATTACTCTACTAGAGAAATCACTAGCTTTATCATTTAACTGCATATATCAATAGGACTAAATTACTATATCATGTTTACTTTTACTAGAGAACTTAACCCTAGTATTCTCGTTGGAAAAACTAAATTGGACAATCCAATTTACGGACTAGATTAATTAACTTATAATTTGCTAGGATTATTATCATACTATTAGACCAATAGCTAAAATATCCATTAATTGATTTACAGCTTTATAATTACGAAACCAATAGAATTTCCTATTATATATCTTGACCCTCAAAATTAAGCCTTATGTTTAATCGAATACAGTTTTCTCCGATTGACAAAACATCATTAACACTTGTTAACCTAGTGGATTAAATTACCAAACGCACAGCTCATTTAATGACAGTCAGAAGATCAGTCACTAAATATGTTTGGTGTTCGTCGCTAAAGGGTTGCTACTGGGTTGGTCGGCTAAACTGTAGCAACGATAACAGATCAGTCCCTAAAAGCATGTATTCCCGTCGCTAAATTCCCAGAATTGTGCAAGCTCGTATTTAATCATACAAACGTCGATTATAATGGGAGGGATCAGATTTTCTTACCTCGTATTCGTGCCTAGGCCTTCATTTGAGTCACGAGGGTCGTTATTTCTTGGTTTAATAGTCGTTTGATAACTCGGTCGTCGAGGCTACGATGGAAAACGACCATGGTTAGCTAATTTATAGCTTCTACTATAGGAAGGGTCCGGGATCTATCACTCTTACCTACTGTTCTTACGAGAGAGTGGGAGATACGAAGGAAACCAGCTAGTTATGTGGTCCTTCTCTGGTAACGATAATGAACGGTGATGTGGCGAGATCGATGATGATGACAAGATGGATGAGTACGTGTTATTGTTGGCCTCACCCTCCTCCTACTAGCAGTGGCGACGATGGTGATTGGGCATGGAGGTAAAAGAGCTTTAGCTTCTGGTGGTGTTTGATTTGAACAAGGAGAGATGGGGTGTTCCGGATGCGAGAGGCAGATGGATGGCGGTGGTAATGGAGCACATTTGGGAGAGGAAATGATTTATTAACTTTGTGGAAGGGAGGAGGGAAAATAAATGGGATCACATGATTTGCCTGCAGAAGATAAGAGATGGGTTATGGGAATTAATCAATGGTGTCGGTGATAGAAGAGAAGAATGGGGTCTTTTCCTCTTGTCCCACCTCCCATTCATCCATACACCAAATAAATTCCTCACCTGTAGATTTCTTTTACAAGACTAATTACCTTATGTTTAATTTAAGCGGAGGGTAGTTTAGGTACTTCGCAAATGATTAGTGTACAGGGTATTACACAAACCCTCCCCTTTGAGAGACAGTTTATCCTCAAGCTGTGTTCAAGATGGAAAAGTGGGTTATGGCGCCTTGAAGGAGAGCAAGTCTTCCCAGATAGCATTAACAGGAGATAATGACAAACATGTCCCATATCTGCAGATACTCCTTGAGAGGAGTATTGAACCACAACAAAGACCTTTGCTTGCCCACTATGGAGCTGTAGACAAACAAGAATGCTCTCCAATTTACTAACAAGGACAAGTTGTTGCAGCAACCCGCAACCCGACAAAACAACATAGCCACACTTGCTACCAACTTGTCCAGAGTCTATCGCCAGGCTCTTAATCAAACCCATAAGCTGCTTGAACACCAATGCTTCGGAAAGCCAAGCTCTGTAGGGTCCTTTCAAGCTACGAATAGAGCCTCTCCACTTACAAACCCAAGAGTGCCACAAAAAGGTTACAACACTAGAATTTGAGGCCTCCCTTGAGTTCACAGTGATATCCCAAGGTCTAGACATACAAGCAATTGATCAATAATCACAATCTTTATAAGGGCCTTTGAAATCCGGCCAAGTTCAACCCTTATGAGAACTCAGGTGAACCCCATAATATGTTGGGAAAATTTAAAACCCAAAATGCCTTGTAACCTTTGCTATGTGTTCATGAGTGAACCCACCATCAACAGAAGCTTTGAAACTGTAATTATCATATGAGTCACTAATAACCATGTCAATGGTTTGCAACTTCTAATGGTGATGCGCAACAGAGGAAACAAACATGGCCCAATCATATGGGTAATGAGACTGATTCGGCAACGACCGAAAGAAGTCCAGGAGAAGGCTTTGGGAATGAAATTCATGAGAAGACGTTGAGACTTCAAGATAAGAAAATTCTAGGAAAGGGAAGATATCCAACGGAATTGAGGATTCGAAGGTTGACGAATCAACAGGGGAATAAGCACAAGAATCGACTAGATATGCAACAACCGACGAAGCAGTAAGAAACTGAGCAACCGTTGGTGGGGAAGAAGGCAAAGAAACTGCAAGCACATTTGAGGAGTTGGCAATGGACAAATCAGAATGCAGCGAAGAAGAAGATGGTGGGAAAGAAGGCAAGGCAATTGACGGTGGTTCTTGAGAAGGAAAAATTGGGGCTTGAATTTCCGGAGAAGAAGCAACAGAATGAATTAGGGTTTTTAGTCCTGGTGTAGACAGGGGAGAAACCCAATCACAGGTTGGAGAAGGAACCTGGGGGTCGACGGTCGAGTCAGATTGCCTGGAGAAGGTGGAAGAAGGAACCCAACATGAGGATCCAGAATCGACGGCCGGTGGCGGACTGATTTGTTGTGGATCGGCGAACTGATTGTGATTCGCGTGCCATGGAGAACGGACCAGAGAATGGTACTGGCGTCGCTCCAACAAATCAGTAAGAGCGTCGATGTAGGCCTTTGTCTAAGCCCCAAGAGAAGCAATGGAGGCCTTCAGATCCCGGTGTCGTGAGTCCATCTTCTAATTGATGGCCACCATTTGATTTTCCAAAACAATGATTTGTGTGGTGTAGGTCGCCATTGCCAGATTACAAGGCTCTGATACCACTTGTAAGGATCGTTTATTAATGAATCTGGCGAAAGAGATGAACAATGGGGAAATGGAGGATTTACAGGGAAGTACTGAAGAAGAGAAGTTTGGTTTCTATAGACTACATCTAACACGAAGAAAGGGAAAGTAACTAGTAGTTTACACAATTGGCCAAAAATACCTCTCTCCTAACAGTTGTAGCTATTTATACTTGTTTATCTACACACGTCATCATGCCGACAGCTCGAGTTGTTACATATGCCTTCCAAGCCGATGAAGGTCTGTCAACCTGGAGTCGACAAGCTCGAGGATGGAGAAGAGCTCGAGTGTGACCCCTCTGCCTACAACTCTCTTCACGCCTTTCACATTGGATGGCCCTGTTTGAGGTTACTTACTATCTGTCTTACTCTTACTAGGTTCCTACCCTCGACCGTCACACTAGTAGTCCAGTATCTCAGAGTTGGTTTAGTTCGGACCGATTTTCCTCACACTGTTTATCTACTTTCGGGTACTCAGGTGAGATTTCTCATCCTCTAGGTTTTGACTAACAATAATTCTATCAACGTTTCGTTGATTGTGGTTGTTGTTGTTGTTGTTACAATCTCGATCATGATCAACGTATGCCAAATTTCTGAATGCTTTGCTTTTCTTTCTTTTCTTATAGGAGCTTTACTTTGATGGTTTCCTATAGGTAGAGAACCCTGCTTGGAACTCTATTGGAATTTTCAAAGTATCTAATATCTTTGGTCAAAGACGGGAACTCGTGCCTAGGAAAAATGTTGATGGGGAATCAGATATGGATGTGGATAACAGTGATAGTGATGATGATAGTGATGATGGGGATGCTGGTGGATCAAAGGCACCTTCTTTGCAGGTATCAGCAGCTTTTTGTTGCGCTTTTCTCTCTCGATCATTTGGGTTCTCCTTGTCTCCATACTTAAAACCTTTGGATTTATTGGGATGTTTAGCATTTTCTCACACTTTAGGTGAGGAGAGTGGCCCATGGAGGATGTGTTCATCGCATTCGCGCTATGACTCAGAGTCCTCATTTATGTGCAACTTGGTCGGATTTTGGTCATGTACATGTCATTTTGAGCTTTAGATGATCTAGAAGCTGAAAATTATGACATGATGCCAACTCATCATCTACTTGGCCGAAAGGGTTGGCTGTATTATTGCTCCATCCAAATTTTGAATCTTTTGGTTCTTTTCTTTACAGATATGGGATTTCAGCAGTCAAGTGAATGGTTTAGCAGAGTCCAAAACAAAAGCAACAGCGAAAGATCCTCCAGTTGTAAATTAGGCCCCGTTAGTTACTTTCAAAGGCCACAAAGAAGAAGGATATGCCATGGATTGGAGTCCTTGTGTTGCTGGAAGGATGGTGTCAGGTATTGCAAATATGCTTTTCTCAACTGTCTCTCCTCCCTTTTAACATTTTTGTGGCTTAACTGTGCAACTCTTGATGGTTCTGTACATTTGTTCAGGTGATTGTAGGAATTGTATTCATTTGTGGGAGCCCACTTCCGGGGCAGCATGGAATGTTGATCCTCCCGATTTCATGGACATATTGCAAGTGTAGAAGATCTACATGTATTTGATTGATGTGCTTTATGCAATGTCGTGGTTAGCTAGCCATAAGATACTTTTCTGCATCTCTCAAGGATTTTATTTGGGAACTGTTTACCTCTGCAGTGGAGTCCCACGGAAGATGACATCTTCGCCTCTTGCTCTGTTGATGGGACTATTGCAATATTGGATAGTCGTCGAGGAAAAGTACCAACAATTCATTTCAAGGAACATAATGTTTATGATAATGTGATTTCATGGAGCAATTTCTTAATCCATACCCATCAGCTTGCTAAATAATTGTGTGATGCTCTGGTTGTCTGACGGCGTAATCTTACTTCTAATATTGTGAATTTTGATAGGCTTGCTAGTATGATGTTGGCGTCTGGAAGTGATGATGGGACGTTTTCTATTCGTGATCTTAGGTTGCTGTCACAGAATATGGTATGTTTTTTCTCGCTATAAATGTGACCTTTATGTGCTGCTCTCAAGTTGCACTGGTATTTCCTGCAAAGGGTTGGCTAAGAAAACGAGTTAGATGTTGAGATGCCTTGGGTATGTTTGTTTTGGCTGAAGCATAAGGAACATTAGAAAAAAGTTTACTTAAAACTAACCTGTTAGAATTATTATTCACCCTAGATATAACTAATATTGTCATTTCACCGACAAACTTTAGTAATTACGGTTAAAGTTGTACCCAATAATATTATTTCCGAAACTTGCTAATTTCCTTATTATGAATTTGTTTTAGGGTTAATATTTTCGTATGGCCTGAACTTTGACCAAAATAAACATCCTGGCCAATCTTTTCGATCTATAACATCCTGGCCCGAACTATACACCAAAATAAACAATTTGGCCAAACCCGATGTTTGACCGTTAACTTGGACGGTCAAACGCGTTGACTAACGGTCAACGAGCCACGTCACCGCCAAATCAGCAAGTTTAAATTAAAAAAAATTCCACCTATTCCATTTATTTCCTTTCTCATTTTGAAGAAGAAAAAAAAAATAAAAAAAAAGTTCCCCAAAACGCAGGACCCTTCTCCTTCCTTCATCGTCGAACCTCCTCAACTGACCGACTAAAATGCAGCGGCGGGCGATTTTCTGAGCCCGCCGCCGCCGCCGCCACCGCCATCGATTACCACCCTGAATCACCATTAACGAATCACCATCGATTCCCACTTGCCATTAACCTCTGCCTTCCTTTCCTCTCCTCGCCTTCTTCCCAACCTTCCGACCTTCCTTCTTCAATCCCATCTCCGCCACACACAGAAATCCAGAACCCACATCTCAATTCTTCCTCCACAATAAAAGATTCCACTGTAAAACCACCCAAATCAAAGACTCCGTTTTTTTCCCGGATTCTTCCTCTCATATTCTGCCCTTCTTACCTCCCCCACAAAATCTCGCCTCAATTCCCGATCTGGGTTCCTTCCTAAGGTTGAAATCAACACAAAGAGATAGAGATTTTTATTCTCCTTTTGAAATCCCCCTCCCTCGATTCCCCTTTTCCTAGATTCTCCGCATAAGAAAAAGCATATTCTTCAGTAACCCTCCTCTGTTTTCTGCCGACTCAGAAACTGATAAAAATCCCCACTTCGCCCTTCCTTCTTCTCACACTTCACCATGAAGACTCCGTTCCTTCTTTGAACCCACCAAAAGAGAGCAAAAGAACACACATAAAAACGAATCAGTAGCCATGGAAGCTCTTTACCCGCATTTCTACATGTCGAGCCACCACCTGCTAAATGACAACAGCAGCAGCAGCCAGAGCTCGGAGTGGACTAGAGAAGAGAACAAGGCCTTCGAGAGCGCTCTGGATCTCTATGGCGAGCACGATCCGCACCGCTGGCTCAACGTCGCCGCCATGATCCCGGGAAAATCGGTCTCCGATGTGATCGAACAGTACAGGGAGTGGAAGAAGACGTGTGCGACATCGAAGCAGGGCGCGTCCCGATCCCCGGTTACCTGGCCGCGGACGACGATGCTGCTTTCAGCCTGGACCTCATCGTCGGGCCCGACTTCGTCGATTCGTACAGAAAGCGGCCCATGGGCTCCACTAAGACCTCCGATCAGGGCCGCCATCGATCCGCCCGCCGCCCGGCGCTGCATTTTAGTCGGTCAGGTGAGGAGGTTCGACGATGAAGGAAGGAGAAGGTGAGAACGGCGGGTGAATTCTGTGGATGGGGATGAAGCGATATGGATAAGGTAGGGTTAGGGCAGGGGTCCTGCGTTTTGGGAACTTATTTTTTTATTTTTTTTTTCTTCTTCAAAATGAGAAAGGAAATAAAATGGAATAGGTGGAATTTTTTTTTTAATTTAAACTTGCTGATTTGGCAGTGACGTGGCTCGTTGACCGTTAGTCAACGCGTTTGACCATCCAAGTTAACGGTCAAACATCGGGTTTGGCCAAATTGTTTATTTTGGTGTATAGTTCGGGCCAGGATGTTATAGATCGAAAAGATTGGCCAGGATGTTTATTTTGGTCAAAGTTCAGGCCATACAAAAATATTAACCCTTTGTTTTATTATCATACCATGAATTACTCTTTCTTTGCCTTATTTTCTTTTCATTACATAAAAAATATCTTACATCCTATCAACTTTATTTTTTCTAAAATCCAACGAAAGAAGCCCTTTTTCTTCACTTCTACCAAATCTAAAAAGCTATTTGTTTCTAGCAAAAGCTGAAACAAACTTATTGTTTGCCCATCTCCAGAAGAAGGCAAACCGTCAATATCCATCACTGTTTGCTTGTGTGCTTTCTTGATTTGGTTTTAGAACTTAAAGACAACTTCTATCGAGATGGTCATATTCTTTTCCTCATATATGCGCAAGACAATGATACATCTGTTGTATCACACTTTGATTACCATAAATACCCAATCACATCCATTGAATGGAGCCACCACGAGGCCTTCACATTAGCTGTGTCATCCGCCGATAATCCGTTGACGCAAGTCTTAACTATAGGCAACAACATTATATGATGGTAATGGTACTTGCAGTTTTTTGTTTTCCATTGGAAGCTTACAAGTTTCACCCTTCAACATTATTAGGATATGGGATCTGTCACTGGGGAAGGACACGGAAGAGGAAGTTATGTTATATAAAGTTGAAGATGGTTTACTGTTGCCTAACAACATCTCAAGTGTAGTTGTTTCTATTTAAATTTTTTGCATGTGTTATCTAGACCATTTGATATTTATAGGGGCCATGAATCCACCAATCAAATTAGAACTTAGTACTTATACTTTTTATATTTTACATTTGATACCTAAATCTTATTTTTTATACAAAAATGTCATTGAAATTTTACATTTTGGTAGCTTAAATTTTTTATTATGACATTTTAGTACCTGCACGGAAGAAAGGTGGAGACCACTATGAGCTGGTTCCACCTCCAGAACCACGGCCACCCTGGCCATCCGAGTACTCACTCGCCTGCATCTTGTCGGATGGCCAGGTCGAGGTGACCAATCCTGGTGGTCGCACCCGTCGGGTGCATGGTCACCATCCGAAGCTGTACCTCAAGAGCGATGTGGATCCGCTTTTGGAGGCACCTGTTCCTGCACCCCGCTGAGTATCCACCATGGGCGTCCAGCTAAAAGACGGTAAAGAAGCGCTTGTGGGGAGGCAACCCCACCACGGTTTTTGTTTATTTCTTTTGTTTTGGGTCGGATTATAAACTGGTTTGGTTTTGGTTTGTTTTCTTTTGTTTTGGATGATGTATTATTGGGCTGACAATTGGACCTAATGGATTGTGTTTGAGTTCTTCTGTTCCCTTTAGCTGTGCTTTGTCCCTGATTGGTCCCCTCTCCATTCCTCTTCACACAGACTGGTCCGCTTCCAGTCTCATGTAGTCCGTGCACACCGGTAACATCCTTCCCCTTTATCCTTCCCTCTTCTCCATTGAGGGCAATGTCGATCTTAAGTGTGGGGAGATGTTTCTCTTTTGACTGCATTAGATTTGTTTGTGTGCTTGGAGCCTAGTCCACTGTCCAAATTTTTAAATTTGAGGGCTCCAAGTACGTGTTTCCTTGCAAATTGCCTGCTCAGTATGCTTTGAATTGACAGTCTCTATAGTAATGTGCAACCTAGAGAGGTAGTGTAGCACTATGGAGGATGTTGAAGTATAAGATTTTTCCTATCTAGCTCTCTGCTGTGCCAGTTGATTTTGTGAATTAGTGGAGCTAGGACCGTTGAATTCATGTGATAATGGTGACTCTATTTGGATTGTGTTATAGACTCGTGTATCGAACAGGGTGCTCATGTGAAAAATGAAATGCAGTTGGTCCTCCATGTCAAAATCTTTAAATCTTAAACATGGGGTAAGGCCAACGTGTGTGGCACCGTTCATTGCACAAAAATCGGGTTTTGGAAGAGATTTTAGTGATCCTTAGTGGGGTACTCCTACAAGGTGAAGCTAAGCCGTCTCTAGTAAAAGTAAAACTTCCACCCGTTGAACAATTTGCCTACTTGAGGATGTGTTTTTAAGGGCACGGATAGAGCTTCCGACCCCCCTTAATGTCATTGACACTCCACACGAGTTGAGGAAAAGGAGTTAAAAGAAGTACTCTGGCGAGCGCCAGATGTACAAAAATTGCTCTTGCTCGACTAATAAGGGTCGACCGTGCGAAAGAATGCAGTTGGAACCCCCGCTAAGTGAATGAAAAATAAGTAAAATGGAAGTGAAAAAGGGGTTCCAACGGTGAAATGAAGTGAAAGAGCACCCCCGGTATCGCGAGTCCTTGATTGTGAATGGTGTGAGTCCCTTTATCCATGAACTGACTGTCTTACTTCTACTTCTTCTCATGATCCTGACTTGAGTCTAGTACTCGCATTGAGAGAGATAGGGGACGTCTTAGAAGACCAGTTGACCTCGTAAGCTGCGTTATGATCTAGAAAATCCTCTACCGACGATCAGGGTTGTTTGTTGCTATAGAGGTCTGGAGAGTTGCATTGGTTTGAGTTATGTTTGCTTTGGGACAAGCAAACGGTTAAGTGTGGGGGAATTTGATAACGATGTATTTGCACATGTTTGCACCCTTAGTTCTTATCCGTTTGCGGCTAGTAGTCATGTATTTTTGGCACGTTTTACGCCGGGTTGTGCTACTTTGTCATATTTCAGGTCCCAGACGTCGAAGGAAAGGCTAAGCACGAGTTTCGGGGCATTTGGAAGTCATTCGGTCGAGCTGGGGCCAAAGCACGGGCTGGCCTAAACCAAAACATGGCCGTGAACACAAATAGGCACGCTAGTGTTTTATTGCCGAGAGCTGAACTGATGGAATAGCAAAACACGGGCTGGCCTAAAGCAAAACACGGCCGTGTCCATATTTAGACACGACCGTGTTTTGGCCAACGCGGGCTTGTTTTTAACACGGGACAAAACACGGGCGGGCAAAACCAAAGCACGGCTGTGCCCTCGACCGTGTTTTGCCCAGGGTTGGCCTTTTAGGCAGATTTGAGCCAAAGGAGAAGGAGTTCCGAGTTTTAGAGAGACATAGCGATACCTAGAGAGAGAAAGCGACGAACCAGAGTTCCCAAGTGCCCTAGCTTGATCTTCATCACCATTGGAGCCCCGCTTGAGCTTGGAGAAGTGCCGATTGACGGCCATGAGTAGAAACCCATCCTTCACAGTATGGTTTCCACATCTGAATCTGCTTTTACTTCTCTCTCCATGGAGTAGTTTTCCCATTCATCTGGGTATGGAGAACCCTAGATTTGTATGTTAGGTCTGATTGTATGAACCCAAGTACAGATTTTATGATTTGATTATATTCAATTGAGGTTTGAATGATTGAATGACTTGAATCCTGATCAAATTCCTGTTATTTCTGCTTTAGCCTAGAAAGAAAATATCTACCTAGGTTAATAGAGCACCCTTAATTGAAGGTAGTGAATTGGCGACTTTAGTCAAGGAGTCAATTCACTATTCTGTACCGAATTTACTTTGGTAGTGGAGGTTTGGTTCGTTAGGGCCTCAATCTGTTTACTCCGGTGGAGGTTAGTCGCTCGTTGGGGACTCAGATTGAGAGGGTCTGGAGACCTTTAGTCGAGACTTCAGACTACTTAAGAACTTCCCGCAGTATAACTATCATTAAAACTGAACTTGGTAAATTGCAATCCGGCTTAACTGCAGTCTATGGGGAACCATATCCGAGTGACCTCTCTTGACTTGAAAACAACCTTCTTGCTTGCTTTGTTTGTTTACTTGTTTGAACCCGCACTAAAGTTTCACCGCTAAATAAGAAGAATTCACTAAGTAGTCATCACATCTAGGACCCGGGTTGACATTAAAATCCAAACCCGCTATACTACGCTTTAGGAAGTGGTTACACTTGGCCATTTTCTAGAGTGACAGTAGGAGTGAGTCACGGTCGTAGGACCATGAACTCAGGCCATTGCCCATGAACTCGATTAAGTGTTGCAGCGCATTTTGACTTGAGATCACGGTCCGTGCTTTTAGTTCCCGGCTGTGAACTGAGACCGTGATCTGAGCCCGATCTGGGTATAAAAGGAGGGTTGAGCTGAAGGAGAAAAGGGAAACAGCTAGCGTGAGAAACTTCTTCTTCTTCTTCTTCTTCTTCTTCTTCTTATTCTGATTTCTAGAATGAGAAAGTGTTGAATCAAAGAAGAGAAAAAGCTAGGGTTTCATCTCCAAGCAAGGATTTGGGAATTCCTTCCCCAAAGGATGATCTCTTCAACACAAGGAGCAAGGATAGCGTCTCCATGATGGTTTTCCTTCTTCTTTCTTGTGTTTACCCTTCTCCTAGCATGGAGTAATCCCTTATTTCACTTGGGTGTTTGTAAAACCTAGCTACAATTATGTGAATGTTTGTATGGATTGGATGATTTGTGTGTGGATGTGTTTTAATGTGAATTTGTAGGTATTTTCATGGAAGATTGTGTTGAGTGTTTGCTTATCAATCTATTTGCCATTCTAACATAGGTAGAGAGAAAACCTCTTTTTTTGAAAGAGGCTTGTAAAGCTGGGTTTTCTTAGGAAAATCTTGTCTCCTATCTAGGTTACTGTAGAGAAACCCTCTTTGTTCGTATTAGCACCCAGGGTTGGTTGTAAGTTGGTCGTCCGAACTCCTATTCGAGGGTGAAGTCTTGGCAACCCTTAGTCAATAGTTCAAGAGAACTACTTTGGTGGCTTGAATCTAATTCCCTTGACCTAGA